AAACAAAAAAAAAAATGAAAAAACATCAAAAACAAAAATTTATATAATTATACGAAATGTTTATATAACATTAGAAATTGTCCTTGAAAAATGAAATTGATAAAAATATCCTGGAAAATAAATAGAAAATAGAATAATCCTTCACAAATCTATTTTATAAAAGTTTTGATGTTTCTATATAACAAACAAATATCACAATAACTGAACACAATAAGGACACAATAAGAACTTGAAAATTACACATATGCACATAGTATATTAAAAAAAATATTTATTTTTCTTAATTAGAAATTTAATTACGTACATAATGTTATGTATGTATGCATGTAGTATGGATGTACGTTATAATTATCCTTTATACACAAATAATATTGTCAATATTATCGTAAATGAAATTAAGCAAATAAAAACATTGAATTCGAATGATCACAATAAAAGTTTTATACAATTAGATATATACTATTATTTCACTATATATCATAGGAGTATATTCGTATGTATATCATAAATGCAAGGGTATAACAAATTTTTATTTCATGCTATTTTGTTATTTAAATGTGATAAGAAAAAAACCAGAGAGGAAAATGTCATCTACCTTGAAAATACAAATTTTATATATATTATAACTGTTATACAAAATTAATATTTTCATATATATATGAAATATATATATATTACACAAAATATCCGTGGATATTTGCATGTTGTTTTTATTTTTTTTAAATTTTATTGTTATATTTTGTAATTCTATTGATATACCAAAGGACATTTTTTGTTCTATAAATTTCTAGGTAACATTGTTCATTTTTTTAAATTTCTTTCTTCTTTTTTTTACAACACTATTATATACTTGTAGATTTTATTATATTTTTACTACTCTTATTCGATTTATTTGTTCGACTGTTGCAATTAAAGTTCGAATTTTGTTTTAATTGACAAGAGTATTACTGAAATTTTTTCGGTTTAATAGCAGCGGTGTCTTTCTTTGTTTTTTTAATTTGTATAACACTAGAATAAATGCAATATAAAAGAAATGGGAGAGAAATTTGACTGCAAGACAGGGCAAAGGATGAATTATGGAATTCAGAGAAATTTCTTAAATGAATTTAAATGTCGTATTATAGTGCGTTATTGAGCTTAAGATATAATATCATTTTGGTTTTAGAAGTGGTAAATTTGTGAAAGGTGGTTTGCTTGAAACAGAAGTATATTAAGCTCTTTAAGTAAGTCAAACCTGGACCATAATATAATCTAGATTTGACTCTCATGTTAAAATTTCAAAATTAACAAGTAAAGATGAAAAATTATTTCAGTTGGAACATACGTGTGTATGTATTTCGAGTGCATACAATAACTAAAGTTTTGAATATTCACGTACATATATACGTATGTGTGTATTCAATAAAAGTTATAACGTCATAAATTACAATATTTATAAATTTCATTATTTTATGTATACTCAATTCTATTACAAAATTTATATTTATACCAACACTTTTATAGGATCATACCTTATATATATATATATATATATATGCATTTATGCATACATATGTTCAATGTACACGTATGTTTATATCAGGTATATCTATATATGTACACATAATATAATTTTATCACTCGTAATTTAACATTGATATTTTATAGTATTAAATGTGCATATGACATTTGAAAAAGGATAATATTCTCAGTTTTTTTACGATTCCACAAATAAATAATAATATAGTTATAGAAGGGCACGTTATATTACATGAGTGTACGTAACATGTACAATGTATACATATATAAATGAAGGGTACATGTTCAGAAAATTTTTTTTTTCGTTATTCAATGATGAAAAATCCTTGATTCAAATTTTTATCACATTTACTTTTTTTTTTGTTTTTTTTTTCCTCTTTTTTTTCCTATTCTCTCTCCTTATCAAAATTGTACGGAAAACTAAATTAAATTAGTAATACTTTTAAAGAATAATAAATTTATAGATGAAAGTAAAAATAGGGGTAGTATCGAGTTATTAAAGACAGAGAGAGAGAGACATAGAGGGAGAGAGCAAGGCAAATTAACATAACAAACAGACATAAAAATTTTGACATTTAAAAAAAATTTTTTTTGAAAACATTTGCCGTGTCAACAAAAACATCATTTTTTGCAATCACAATATTATTTTGAGAGAATTTTGAGTGACTTGTACAGAAATGAGTGGTTGAGTTATACAAAAAAACCTTGAACTATTAAGAAGGCAAAAAAAAAAGAAAAAATTAAATAAATTAATAAAAATACAAAAAAAATAATTCAAAAGTGGTTAAATTGTTATTTTTTATTTACCCTCTTATATAGTTTATATTTACTTATACATGTATACAGTTTTACTCGTATATCTCATATCTCACCTCATATGTTAATAAAAATTCAACAATAAGAATGATAAAATAAAGTAATGGCAATAACAATAATAAGAAAAAATAACCGTAAACTATCAAATAAATAATAACAAGGCAAAAAAAAAAAAAACAAATAAGACGAAAAAAAAAATAAACTGAAAAGATAAGAGAGCGCTTTAGAGAGAGAGAGAGAGAGAAAGAGAAAAAAGAAAAGAGAAAAACAGATGATAAACAGGGAAAAAGGATAACTTTAAAACGTCATCTGTATTTTTTTTAATATTTTACATTTCCCTTGCTTCCCGTATACATAAGAATACCTATAATTCATTTACGAATTTACGTTTATTCTTACATATATGTATATCAATACAATTGTGATTTGTGAATATAATATGGACACGAGTACAAAGTAAATATTGAAAATTTTTTTTTTTTTGTTAAAGTTACACGAAAGAGAGAATGCTGAGAAAGGATAAATTTAGTACACAGGACAAAAAAAAAAATTAAAATAACAATAATAATATTATATCTATTTGACTATATGTATATTTTATAATTATATTATGTATGTATTATGTACATAAACGTTTAAACATATGTGAATGAGCATATTAATATTAACATAAGGTATTGCCGCAAGCAAAATACTTTGTATTCTTAAGTATATGGATATTGGGCTACAGTAATATATATTATTTTTATCCTTGTGTAAAACATAACCTCGAAATTTATATTTTTGACAATATGAAATGAATGTACATATACATATTATTATGAAAATATTGTATTGGGAATTTGTTCTAAAATCTTTACGTATGATGAGTTGAATTATAAATTTGAGTATATTTCAACTATATAAAATAGGTATAAAATATAAAATATACTCAAAATTGTAATCATGAAAAATAAGAAATGGAAAGCAGAGAATACAAAATTGCTTCAAGGATAATAAAAAGCAAAAAAAAAATTAATAGATAGAATTTTGACAGGTTGAAACTCTTTTCTTGTCATTATTGTTGTCTTATTTTTGTTTTTTGTTATATTTTCTCTCATTTTCTCTTCGTAAAGTTTTATTTATTTATTGTATTTTTTTTTTTTGAAAGTATTTTTGCTTATTTTAAATATGAATGTATGAATGTCAAGTGAAATAATATAGGAGAGAAAAATAATGAACTTTATATTTTTAAGATTCAATTTAAAATTAGATTTAAAAAAATTTATTCAATTAATAATTAAAGTATAAAGCTTTATTTACTAAAATATATAGGTTTCAAACTTAGACGTTTTAATTATAAACGAATAATAAATGAGTACAAAATTATTTTAAATTTGGGATTTGAAAATAATTATTGCTAATTTCCTTCTCTATTTTAGGATTTTGTCAACACTCCCGTTTATATGCACTCCCTATATGTAAACATATACATAGAAATAATAATATATATCATTAATACATATGAGATGTGATTTTGAGTTTTTTTTGTTTTTTTTTTTTTTAAATAAAATTAAATTTATAATATGTATTACTGCTTAATTTTAATTTCTTAAAATTTTTGTTATAAATGAAGTTTTTTTTAACACCCCGCATATTGTAGTATAGAATATGTTTACTAAAATTATACCATTTACTTATTAACAATATATATATATATATATCATTATATTGTGAATAGAGTAATATTTTGTAACTATTTAAGAATTAAAATAATAGTAATTCATTATATTTGCACTAAGTAAATAATAAATAATACTTAAATATTTCTTCAATTTATTTTGAAATAATTAAAATAAAATAATTGTACTATGTATAATACTTTGCCTCCTTTTATCTCATAATATATAAATTTTAATTCACAATTACCTATAATATGTATATAAAATTTAAGATATAAATTTATAATAACCATATTTGTATATTATGACATATTTATATATATATATATATACTTTAAGAAATGACAGTAGACAATAATGACATTTTGATGTTCAATTTGAATTTATTGTTTATACATACATTGTTATATTAATTGTATACTTTTATATTTATTATATATATACGTTTAAATATTGTAATGTACAGGTAGATTTACATTCAATATTATTTTAGTTATATAGGAATTTTATTATCTCGCAATTGTAATCGGAAAATCAATTATTAATTACTATTAATTTTTATATTATAATTACTATCTATTGTGAACAAGAAATTGAGTTATTTGTGAATTTTAAAAATAAAAATTCAAAATATTTCTCCCATTAACACACTCACAAATTAAATTTTTTTTTTTAAATAAAAATTTAAAAATATTATTTAGATTTTTTTTTCTTTGCACTTTAAAATTATAATATTAAGATATGATAATAAAAAAAAAAAAAAAACAAAAGAAGAAGAAAAATAATTTTTTTTTTGTTGTGTTTTTTACTTGTTAATTATTCTTGTTATTATTATTATTTTTTTTCAAAAAAAAAAAAAAAAAAATAAAATAAAATGAAAAATTAATTTAATTTTTTTTTTTTTTTATTTCTTGCTGGTATTTTTTTAGTTTTAATTTATTTAAAATAAAAATAATAAAAAAAAAATTTTTTTTTTTTTTTTGTGGTTGAAAATTTTTCACGTACCCATTTAGCTATTAGCACATTTTATTTTTATAAAAATATGTAACTATACGGAGGAAAAATAAGAAAAAAATAAGAAGACAAAAAAAAAAAAAATTATGAAAACAGAAAAATAGACAGAGAAAAAAGAAAAAACAAACAACAACAATTATTTTTATATTTAGATTTGCTTTTTCTTTGATATTGTTCTTATTTTTTTTTTGTCTCTTTTTTTTTAGAAAAAATTTCTTTTAAATATTTATTTTATATTCTTATTATATTATATTATGTATATATATACAATTTGTATATAATCTTTTTAATAAAGAAATGACAAAAGTATAATGCAAATTTATATACGTATGTGTGTATGTACATAAGTATATATAGAATTTATTTAATATATTTGTTATGTAGTATGAAAATTTTGCAATTACATACATACATACATACATATATCCAAATTTATACTATTCTACTATTATCTTTTCTAAAAAAATTTTTTCTTTTTTTTTTTCCCTAAAATTTTTTTCTTATTTTTTTTTTTTTTTGTATTTTTCAATTTCAATACATTTATAATTTTTATTAAAAAAATTTTAATAATATTGAAAAATTTCACGATTTTAATTTTATTTTAATATTCATTGGTTTATTAAAATTTAAAATTATTATTATACTTTTTTTTTTTTCTTTTTTTACAATATTTCAAAAGTGTATTATGAAAAATGAAGAAAAGAAAAAAAGAGAAAATAAAAAACTTAAAAAAAACTCAAATAACAACAACAACACACATTAAAAAAATTTTTTTTTAAGTTTTTTTTTTTTTATTTATTTTTTTTTTAAATATTATACTATTTTTTTTTTTTTTGTATAAATAATAATTTGCAAGGACCTTTTTAAGTCTTTCACCGTTTGAAAACTACTGAACTAATAAAATAAAAAATGAACCGACCGACCGACCGAAAGAGAACAAATAACAAAGTAAAGAGTAGAAGAAAGATGAAAACAAAATTTATAATATAGAAAAAAAAAAAGAAAAAAATTTTCCTTCTAAGCAAAAAAAAGACACTCAAAATATTATTTGTTTTGCTTTTGGTTTTGTTTTTTAGTACATTTCTGAATTATAATGGGAATTTTCTTTTGAGTGAGCATAAATTTTTGGTTTTTTGAGTACTTATTAAATAGGAAAAATTTTTGAAGAGAATTGTTTTAATTTATTTTGAATGAAGTGTCGTAAATGTCAAGTTATATGTATCACAAGGTAGAATATATTGGAAAATGTCATTTATATGTTAAAATAATTTGAATTTTAGACTCATTTTGGTTTAACAAAAATATGAGGTTTAGTTGGGTATCAAAAGAGAGTTATAATTTGACAGAAATGAAGCAAAACATTGCAGATTTATTTGTTTTTTATTTTATGGTTGTTTAAAAAAATGTAGGAAGAATTTAAAAATAAGTTTTAATCTTTTAATTAAAAAAAATCGGAATAAAAATATTCAAGAAATTTAACAACCGAAAAACATTTTACTAAAACTTAATTTTTATTTTACACGACCATATATAGAAGAAAATAATATCCAGGCGGGTCTTAATATTATGTTATTAAATTTTTGTAAGACGATTTTAATATTAAGATAAATGGGAATGTAGCAATAATAATTTTATCTTTCCATTTTTGCAAATACCTAAATCGAATTACATAGTAAGGGGCCCTTGATTATCGTTATGTCAGTAATTTTCGTCAGTGATAAATACATAACATTATGATTTGTTATATTGTTAAATACACTCACACCATAAATACAACTTTCTTAAAAAAATTTATTTTATTTTATGTTCACAATATTACTTTATTTAGAAAATATTTAAAAAAAAATTTAAAAAAGTTGATAGAATTCTTCAAAATGCGTCGTTGCAATAAAAATTTACTATTGTGAATTTATTCTTTTTGAAATAATTATTAATACAAAATATTATTGTGAATATATATGATTCAATTCAAAAGTGGATTGATAAAAAGAGCATACATTGTGACATCTGCCGGAAAAATTTTGTACTATAATTTAAATTTAACCACTTTATCTAAGACACAAACACACAATAAAGAATTGTTAAAATTAATATTTACGAATCTTAATACTATACTGTTATTTTTTTCAGAAACTTTAAAGTTTTTTTAAAAGTTCTACGAAATTTTGTAAAATATCTTTCTTTAGGATATTAGGTATGGGTGAATTGATTTATATAATATGGATGTACATTTATGTTAACGGTTGTGCATTTTTGTCACTTCGCATACAATGTCATTTCACAGCTTCTGTGAATTTCATTCAGAAGTTCACAGTAGCTTTAGGTTTGTCACTATCAACAGGAATGCTTTTCATACGTGAGTGAGAAAGTAAAAAAGGAGAAGTTTTATTTGATTTCAGTTTGTATTGTATTTAATTTATTTCGTGCTATACGTATATTGCCTTTTTGTAAATGGTGTTTGGTAAATATATGAGGAAAAACGATTTCAAAACTTACATATAATTTTTAATATAATTACGTTTCAGGCAAGGTATCAAAATTAAGTTTAATTTACTTAAGAAATTAAATCTTGAAAACAATGAACATCTACTACATCTTAAGAGTACAATAAAACTGAAACTCTTATTTGAAAAGTGACCTGCCTTAAGAGTATTGTTGCTTTATGGGGAAAAAAAATATGGTAAAAAAATTTTTTGAATTTTTTCGTTAAAATGTTTTGTGTTTGCTCAAAAATTGAAAAAAAAAATGTATAAAAATGTATTTTTAATTTTAAAATTTCAATAAAGACAAAAAATCAACAAAAACATCTCGTAAAGTTTAAATGAACAGTCAAGGTCTATCAACAGACACATATGATAATTCACAATAACGACAAAAAAAAAAATACCGATTGAATTGTATAGCTATGATGAGTTGCGTATTTTTTTGTTACTTATCCTATGTGCTAATTATAATTTGAGTATATTTGACTAATATTTATCAACTAACAGGTAAAAATAGTAATTGCAATTTCGAAAATTTTCTGAATGTAGCACAAAAAATGGATTGAAGAAATGAAGATATAAACTGATGGAATCAATACAGTGATTAACTTTCTCACCTATGTTATACTTGAGTTTAGAAATGTGAGCCGTAAACAATAATTGTTATATTTGTTATGAATCTGACTAATGATGCCGATTATTTAACTGCAATGTTTTGTCACACTCCAATGATTTGTGAAGCTGAAGTTTAACTCTAAAAAGACTAGTGGAAATGTCCAATGCTCCCAAATAGAATAAAGAAAAAAAAAATTTTAATTATGACGTACATTGAAAAATCACTAATTTACATAGTGACTTTGCTCAGGTGTGTAAATCAAAACCAAATGTGATTAAGAACCAAAACCTTAACGTGTTTTTCTCAAAGTTAACTATGTTAAATATTTTTGTTGCGTTTTGCGATATTGTATTATCGTATTGAAGAAGTCATTTTAAGAGCTTATTAAGACATAAGTGTAGCAATTATGTTACATATTAACTAATTATTGAACAAGTGATTCGAACACTGAATCCTTAAATTAAGCTATTCTATTTTTTTAAACAATAGTAATTGAATAATATTATTAATAATTTTTGTAGTAAAATTTGAATTGCATTCAAAACGTTAAAGGAGGGATGTACTACAAAGCAATTTACTTTTAAAATTATTAAATCTAGAAAGTTAAAGGGTCTTCTATTAATAAGTAACCCTATACAAAATTAATTTGTAAACCTTAGGTTTTCAATAAAATATAGATAAACAATATTCCGCCATTTTTAAAACATACTTTTTTGACAGTTCTTACAATACTCAAATATCAAACAAGCTTCAAACTATGATAGAACTGAATTGTCAAATATACGCTCTTATATGGAAATATCTATATGGTGCAGTTTCTTCGGAGTTCAAAATATTCTCTAAAAGGAATATGATGAGATAGTAATATAATAAAATAAGAGCTGTTTCAATGATTATTTTTCGGTAATTTGAAGTTTCTCTTGTATACTTGACGTGGTATGATACTGTTGGATGTTTTTAATGTAATTTTATCTTATATGAATTTTTTAGTGGATAACAAATACCGTGTTGAAGCACATCATTTATTTATGTTTCTTAATAAAAATACACAATATAGATTTTTATATAAATAGAAAACAAGAGTATTAAAGATTTATATTTCAAAATCAAAGATGAAAAAATTTAGATTGATGGGCGCAGGTGTGGTCAATCAAAAATTATGAGTATAAACACATGCATATTGTTATTCTTTCAAAGGAAAAAAAATTTACGGTGGCAGTTGAAATATTTTAATATGTTTAAATACGCCTCGTGTACTTGTACTTTGGGAAATAAATTTATGAGTACACAAGCTGAGGATTTACTTTTGTTTAAAAAGTTTAAATTCAGCTTTTGTTTACGACGGTTTAATTTGATTACTCAAACACAAAAAAAATAAAATTTTTTAAGATTTTAAATGAAAATTTGGTGTTTTATTTTTTTTGCCTCTTGCTTTTGTTAAAATTAATTTTTTAAACTGGTTAAGCTGGTTAAACATTTTTTTTTTGGCTTATTTATTGAAAGATTTTATATAGTGACTTTTAAAGACGTCATAGTTCATAAACTTTGTTTACGGGGATTTTTTTCCTTTCAATAATTTTTGATAGCTATTTCATTTTTTCTATGTTAATCAGACGAAATTAAAATAAATGAAAAAAACAAGTGAATAAAACACTTAAAATGTTTTTCTTTTATTTTAATTATCATCATAATTCGCAATTAAAATTTATTTCTAAAATATTTTATAAAGTTTTGAATATTCAAGAATAATATGCTTTTGATGGAAGAGGGCCTAACCTATCAAATTATTGAATAAAAAAAATTTGTCATAGTAAATTTATTAACTAATTTATTTAATATACTTTCAGAAAAATTAATATCATTCGGATTAGGTAATTAGTTTCGAATGCATAATGGGTAATGGTACAATGCGGTAATTTAAGACTTAAGAATACACGAATAACTTTTTGATTTATTTAATTGCATGTGTTTAGGATATTGAGTTCGATAATTCAAAACGAAAGTAGAAGAGCAACCTCTTCTGAAAAAATGATAACACTAGAGACTGAATATAGTCGTTACTATCGGTTAAATTATATCGCAATTGTGATTTATATTTATAAATTTTCAAATAATTATTGAAGTACAAGTAATTCAATTTGAAGTATATACAGAAATGTTTGTAGTTTACATGATTTCTTAGACTATATTGAGAAATTATCACATCTCGTGCAACAATAACCTGTTTAAAATAATTTATATACATCATCATGTATGCAGTCTATTTGAAAGCCATCTGGAGAGTAGTATTACAATTTTTAACTCAAATTACTGTCACATTTTTATGGGTTTTCAAAAATTCACAATTTTGACAAGACTAAGGAATTTATAATTTTGTTAATATTTTCATGTAGACAAATTCTATTATTATTTTTATTATCTTGTACTTGTAGTACACAAGCAATATTGTATAATACGATTACATACCAAGATTTTTTTGCAAAACAGGTACATAATTGAATTATGACAATTTGAATTTTATATTTGTAATTATTTATTATAACTATGTATATTGTTCGGTTCAAAAATCTTTAATTATAAATTAAAAATAAATTTTTAGAATTTAATTGGAAATGACGATTTTATATAAGAACAAAAAAAAAAAATTAACAATGATTTTGATTATAAGCTGCTCAAAAATTTTAATCAGAATTGATTAATGAAGTTTGAAAGATCTGTCAGGAATTAATAAAAATTAATTTTTTTTTTCATAAATTTGCTTAAATTAGTACAATGCTCTATTATGTTCATTATAAAATTTTAAAAATTTTAGCAATCCAACATCATGTAGATATTTTGTAAATAAATGAAAACTTATTTTTTCAAGAAGAAACAAGGCTCTAAGCAAAAAGCATGTTGTTATTGTTTTCCCTTGTGCATGAATACCTCTTGCGATTAGGTAACATTTAACAAATAAATGTTAAACTTTAAAAGCTTATTTATTGCACTAGTTTGCCCATCACTCCTACATGGATGCCATCTTACGATATACATAGTAAGCGTATTGAATCAGTGCAAAAAATATGGTCAAATTTTGTTTGCGTAAATTTAATCGAAAAAGGAATACTACTGGTTACCTTGATAAATGTAAATTAATAGATATCAGACTCTAGAATCTAGGCGTAATGTGGCGTCAGTTATGGTTTTTTATGATATTCTATCTGCAAGAATCAATTATTCTTGTATTTTGAATTTATATAATATTATGCGCTAGTGTTTAATGTTAGAGCTCATTGTTTCTTATATTTGGAACCGCACATAACTAACAAATGTTTTTTCATACTCGTGTAAATAACTTTAGTAAAATTTTAATATTCCAATATTTTAAATGAAATAAATCAAAAATTCAAAATTGTTAATTGTCAATAAATGTTTGACACATAACATACATACATTAGTGCCCTCTTGTTTTATTTATTTTAAAAAATATTGTGATCTCAATCAAATGCAAATATAATTTTGTGATTATCTCTTCTATTTAGTATTTTTATTACTCGTATCACATAAAATATGAAATTTTCTAGAAATTTATTATTAAATTTTGTATACCTTTAATTATATGCATACCTTTAACCGGTTTATTTTTTCAAAATTAACATCAAAAAATATTGATTGTAATCTCAACATAATGTGATTATAATATAAACATACACAGTCACACATATCATTTATACATTTTTATTTGTTTACAAAATCACAGACATAAAAAATGATTCATCAAAAATACAACAATAATTTTTAACCTGTGATCATTTTATTGTGTGGATGATGTCTTTAAATAAAATGAAATTTTTACTTCCAAAATTTTATGAAAACCTAGTAAAACCGGTGGTGGGCTCAAGTTCAAAACCACAATAATTAAGTAAGAAAAAAAAAAACGATCAAGTTCATATGTTAAATATTAAAAAAAAAATCGATTAAGCATAATAAAGCGATGCAATATTGTAAAATTTTCGATTTTTATCTTTTGAGAAAAAAAAAAATATAAAAAACAAAAAAATGAAAAAGCCCATCAAATGAATATTATGCAATGGCTATGTAAAATACAAAAAAAATAAAAAATTTTTGATTCATCATTTTAATGGCATAACAATAAAATATTTATAATGAATGGTATGCAAGTATTATTTTGTGTTACCCCAGGTTATTATTGCATTCACATTAGCGCATGCAGACACAGGCATTTAAATTCAAAATTTAAATTAAATCGATAAATTAATGATTTGAAAAGCAGCACTTTTCCTTGCAATGGATGAGGTGAAAAACTGACACTTTTAGACTTGCGCCCCCTCAGTGCTCTAATAAGAACAAAATTGTAAAACATAAAAATTATTTACTTATTTCATTTTACTTATTCAATTATTTTACATATATTTTAAAATCTTATACCATTCAGCACAATAGGATGTCAAAAACTGGCGTTTTTAAGAGTCTAAGGAAGATATAAATTCTGGGTACGAAAGATAACTAAAAACGTTTTCTAGAGAAGCAATTTTTTAACAATATCCTTTTCAGCTCTTTCCTTTGAACTGTGGCAGGCGATGACTGCATAGCCGGTGAAATTAATGGGCACGTTTTTTTCAAAAATTTATTTTTTGGAAATATGCTAATAAGAGAATGCTACATAGGTACATATATTAAATATTTGTAATAAATTTAACATCAATATAAGATTTCAATAGTGGAAATGGTAATAAAACAAGAAATTTAATTTTAATTTTTAATTTTATGAGATGAATTGATCGGCATGAAGAAAGAAAATAGCGAAAGATACGTGGTTTTAACCAAAGGGTAAAATATTTTAAAAATAAAAGTTACGTAAAAAGTTTGTGTATGTGCATATTAGTTTTTATTTAATGTTATATTTAGTGAGAAAATAGCCTTAAAATTGGTATACTGTCTTTCTCACTAGTGCTATAATGAAGATCATTGTATTTCACTAAATAATTATTATGATTAAACAAAAGATTAAAGTGAGGAACTTTGTCTATGTTTAAATAATAAAAACTTGGCTCCTCTTTTCATAATGAATAATTAAACATTTTTCTGGAAATTTGCCGAATTTGTGCCAAAAAATGTAAAATGTTTAGTTTCAAATGTCTTGGCCGGCCTTGAAAACAATAAAGATCATTTGCTATCTATCTAGTTTCATTGTTAATTATAATTTCCTAAATAGAACTATTTCGCTTAGGAAATTATGTAATTTCACTGAAATCATATTATGATTAGGTATATAATTTAAAGTACGCGGCATACTATAAAAAGAGTAAATGTGTGTAAGAGTAAAAGAAAAAAAAAACACTTTCAGTTTCATTCACAATAAATGACAAATTCGTTTGCGATCATTTTTGAATACAAAAATTGAAATTTGCTGTGATGATATGCAATTAACGTATTTTCTATATTTGATCTAAATTCATAAATTGTGTACAATTTATGAATGATAAACATAAAATAATAGTAAAGAAAAAAAAATATGAATTCCCTTGAATATTGGTTAACACTAAGATTATTTAAATAAATATTGATTTTTACCAGCTCCAAAGAAATTTTTTTTTTCCTTTTGTTAAATTTTGTAAACTTTATAAATTTCATCAATTTCACATACCTATTACTTTATTTTTTTTTTAAATTATATACATATATATTTATCTTTCGTGTTTGAAATTACAATTTTCGGAATAAAAGATCATGATCATCATAAAAAATGGTTTAGTTAACGTGCAACTCGGAACGACTTCATAATATTTCATAAAAAGAAAAAAAAAAAATTCAATTACGGATAAAACGGATATCTAAGGAAATTTAACGCCAAAACATGAATCGAACTATATTTTATGTATCGATATTTTTAATATTGACATTTAATCAAATAAAATGTCAAACTCAATTAAATTCTAATCGAGATTCAACGAATAATGCTGATAAATTATTAGAAATTTCTGAACAAGGACATGAAAATATTGGGGACAGAAATACAAGAGGAATTGGTGGATTTGGTGGTCTTGGTGCTGGTGGTGGATTATATGGTGCAGGTTTTGGTGGTGGAGTATACGGTGGTGGATTAAAATATCGTCAAAAAATTGTTATTAAAAAACGTGGTTTTGTTGGTGGTGCTGGCGGTTTTAAAGGAGGATTTGCTGGTGGAGTAGGAGGATTTGGTGGCGGTGGTTTAGGCCTGGGTGGTGGATTAGGTCATGGTGGATTAGGATATGGTGGATTAGGACATGGTGGATTAGGATATGGTGGATTAGGACATGGTGGATTTTTCCGATAAAATTTATTTAAATTAAATTGTGCTATAAAAACAAAAAATTAGTTCAAATTATGAATATTTGTTAAAAAACTAGTCTAAAAGTATTATATTTAAGAAATTACATAGTGTTTATTATTAAAATTAAATAAAGTTTTTTTAAAAAAAAATTATAGGTTGTGTATGATTTTGTGTAAAATTAAAAACTTTAATTTATTTCTAATTTTAAGATTAATCAAAATATTCGTATAAATGAAATTTTGCGTTATTCTTGGGAATTTTTCATTTAATCTTATTAAAGTTTATATAATCTTTAACAAAAGACTTTTTAAATAGGCAACATAAAAATTTAATGTACCGAATTACTGTGATCATTTCATTTCAATTATTAATATAAACTCTAATTAAAGGTGTGCCCATACCTCGTTTTTTTTTGTTATTGCATAACCTACCATTAACATGTATTAATTCAGTGATTAACTACTAAATTTTCCACGTAAAATTGTGGTGTTCTAATAACACTATGTTGAATTTATGCTATACTTATTTTTGAAATTAAAACTCAAAATATTAAAGTACATTTTTTTTTATATTACGAGCACTCTATTGTGAATGTTTATAATTTAAATTTTTATTATTATGTCAAGCATATTTCGAATTGTTCAAATTCATTTATGTTCAAATCATTAATTTATACTTTAAATCATTATTAAATTTAAATTTAATATTTTATAATATAATCGTTCATTTTACGTGTTATACAATTATTTAATTGCTACATAATGATTTTTTTTGATTTTGAATACAATATTCATAATGCTCTCAAAACTACAAGAGTAGTAAATATAAGTACGAATGAGTATTAATATTTAATTTAAAATTGAATCATAGCTATGCTCATTAATTACCAAATATTAAAAGTTATTAATTAAGTGGGTTCTCTAAAACAACTTGTAAGCATTTACGAAACATGATTTTAATAATGCTAGAGGCATTGATTAGAGTGCTTTCAAAATTCTAAAATTAAAATGAAAAATACTTGCGTTAAACAAAAATTAAATAGTTCCAATTAAGTATAATAAAATTAATATTTTGTATTGAGTAATTAAAACATAAGAACTGATTTCTATAGCATCGTTTTTATACACGTTATACAAAAAAAAGAGTGAAAATATGGCGTGGGTGAACTAGGTTTACAAATAAAACAAAATACCGCTATACTTTTGTTCTTACTAAACGACTTTATACCCTATAAACTAAAAATGGTAAATCTGTAATTTGAAAAACTGATCAATTATCTCTAAATTTATCTCTATATAATTATCTATTTCAATTGGATAATGTTGCATGATGTTTATTACAGTGTTGCAACCCCTGTTTTCGATATGTAGGGTATAGAAATGGAATTTTAGTTGTAGTTTCCAAATAGCATGTTTTAAAAACTAGTTTTTTTTTCAAAATCTATATTTTTCCAAAGAACCAATTTTTTTTTAAATAATATTGAATTCTACTTTTATTCTTAATGCTATTAAAGATTAATATGTTGTGTGGGTGGGTTTTGCTCTTTGTAAGCTTATATAGTAAATTCTTTAAAATTTTTATATTAGACGGAATTCTATAGAAAATTTATAATTTTTTTCTTTTCCTTAATAAACTCTTATTAAATAATTATAAGATTTTAGCATGAGCTTAAGAACATAAATTTAATAGTTGTTTCATTATATAGTAATGAAAACTAACATTTAATTATAATTAGTAAATTATAAAAATGAATTCTATGATTGAAGTGTATAATAGCATTTGATTTCAGTTTTGAAGAGCTTTTCATTTAATTTGAGAGAGAATTCAGAGAATAATTGTTTTTGTCAGAATACAAAAATTGATTAAATATTCTTGAAGAGTATGTTGGGATTGTTTTTATGTTCTATTTTCGGGTAATCAACGTCATTTTTATATAAGTATGTCGATTATTAATAGATGTTTGATTCATAAGGAATCAAACATGTTGTCGTGTTGCAACACAAGCTATCAAACAGCATGATTCGATAACATAATAACATTTGAGTTTTTTACTCCATGGTAGTACGAAAAATTCTATTAGTTTTTATTTTTTTTTAAATTAAACATTATTGCATGCCAGTTATTTATTAAATTAATTTATTATTAATGACCTTTATAAAATATTTTTCGTAATTATTATTTAACCACGATTATGTATGAGTTGTTAAATAGAAATTGTTGAATATTTCATACACAATTTTTTCAAATGCGTAGGTGATTGATAAGGTAAGGTGTATAACATGTGTTTTTGAGGTGAATGGCACGGTTTTTTTTTATTATTTACTAAAATGAAAACATAGAAAATCAAAAATAAGTTTGTTTTACATGAATATTTAAAACTTCAATGCTGTAACTTACATCATGACTCTTTCCATAGCCAATTATGTAAATAAATGCTTAAATTCTTCGACTCATCTTAACTTTAAACAATTGTAGTAAGTGATTAAAGTTTACAGTAAATACTATGTGTGTACGATTTGTATATTAATAATTCTGCAGTCTTAATAATGAACTTGACCGTTCCGGCATATCTAAAATAATAAAAAAAAAAAATATTAATAATAATTTTTTTTTAAATTCTTTAATAATGAAACTCTTATTGTTTTTCATTATTATTATTTTTTTTCTTCTTCTTCTTCTTCTTATTATTGTTATTAGTTCCAATGTCAAAAGCATATAGTAATAATGAAAGGTAATAAAGTAATAACCAAACTCAGTAAGTCATATACTTAGTTAGTTTGGTCATAATAATAAAAACTAGATAAAAATTGCCTTCCTAGATTTTTTTTTCTATATACACAAATGGTAAAATTAACTTGTCTAGAATTTTGTATACTTTGCTATAAAAGCAGCATAACTCTAATAAAATCAATATATATGTTCAATTCTAGTTAAAGAGGAATAACCTCGCGTATTATTTAATAATTTTATAGAAAAAAACAAAAATATTATAAAATTTTATTAATTACAACGAATTTTCTTGAAATTCTTAAACGATATTCGCGTTATAAAAAACAAAATTATAGAAAAAACAATGAAGAAAACTTACGTTATTGCATTTTTCTTATTAATAAATTTTGTTTACGGTATTCCTTTTCCGCATGAAGGACATGATCATTCGAAAGATGAGATTACGGTGAGTTCAAGTGTATCATCATCATCATCTTCATCGTCGTCTTCATCATCAGAAAACTCAGAAAAACCAAAAGAAACAATTTTAATTGGTGAAATAATTGAAAGTGGTAAATCAGAAGAAAAAAAATTAGAAGAACCAAAAAATGAAGAAAAACCATCATCAGATCCAGTTGATATAAGAATATCAGAAGAACCAAAAAATGAAGAAAAAAAATCTGAAGTCATCGTAGAAAATGGTTATAGTTCAGTAGCAGTAGCATCTGCAACACCTGAAACACCAAAAGAACCAGCTTCTGCAATTATTGTAATGGAAATGGATACTGGAATTAAAAATCCAAGTGATGCACCTATTGAAATGGTTATGATTGAAGAAGTACCAAAAAAAATTGAACCAATTGCTGGATCAGAAGCAGCTAAAGAAGAACCAATTAAAGAAGAACCAGCTAAAATTGAATCTGTATCAGAAGGTGCAGCAATTGAAATAAAACCAGTTTCAGAAAATGCTGAAAATTCAAAAGAACCAACATCAACTGCTAATACATTAACAACAAGTGCTGATGAACATCAAGGACATGAAAATGAATCAGAAAGGAAAGCTCGTCAATTTGGTCATCGTTTCGGTTTTGGTGGATTCAGACCATTAGGTTTCGGTGGATATGGAGGTTATGGTGGCTATGGTGGTTTAGGTGGTTTCGGTAGCTATGGCGGTTATGGTGGATATGGTGGTGGATTTTATCCAGGAATAATTAGCGGACCATTCTATGGTGGATATTATGGTTAAAATTTTAATTTTAATTAATAATTATTGATTGTACATAGATATGTGATTTACTTAATATTAAGAGTTTTTAAAGTAAAATGTCAGTATTTTAGTTTTTTTTTTCTTTTTTTTTTGATTTTGTGTTTATGGTAATACAAAAATTTAATGTGAATTTTTATTTCTGAGCTAATAACCTTTAAATGTTAAAAATATGCAGATATTAAAAGAGAAAAAAATAGTGGAAAGAAATCCTGTTTTTGTGAGTTCTCAAAATTTTAAATATTTTTTTTTTCTTAGTTCTTTATTAAATTTTTAAGGGGTTTTATTCATAATTTATACGTTAAAGTAAAGAAAACTTTAATCTTTTTATTCCTTTTGTGTATTGTCGAGAAAAAAAAAGGAAAGTTAAATTATAAAAGGGTACAAATTTTTATGGCTTTGTAAAATATTACGAAAATATTTGATTTATTTTTGCTGAAAACGTGATAATTTTTGTTTTATTAGAAAGCGAAATTATTCGAAGAGAAGTCCTCGAGAAATAGCTGTAAAATTTCAAGATGAAATTTTAAATCACAAATGATTAAATATATTAAGAAAATGCTTTAAGCTATTGTGAATGAATTGAGAAATTTTATGAAATTTTGACAAGTAATTTATTGATAATTTTTTTTGACAATAAAGAGACAGTTTCTCTTTTTTCATACCGAAGATGAAGTATGTTATGGTGCAAATTGTCAATTGCAACTAATAAAATTAATATTAATAACACTAAAATACCAAATATTATGAATTGCAATAAATATATAGCTTTTAAATGATTTTATATAAATATAGGTATATTTATTAATTGTATAGAATTTTAATGACAATTAGTACCAATTTATAGTTTACAAATAGTTTGCGTTAACATTTCATAGTAGTACGTTTATAACAACAAATATAAAATTCCAGTTCATTTAAAATACGAATGAAACATTAGTATAAACGTCTCTAATATGCAATGTCCGATTGTAAATAACAAATTAATGAAAAATATCAAATATCTACAGAAATTATAGAGAAACGTAATGTTTAATGAGGTATAACACTTAAAGTGTATAACAGTTTAGTTGTATAATACTCTCAACTGTAACCGTATCAAAGAAAGAATAGCTGAGGGGAATAGTTACACTCATATGTTGTGCCTTTATGTCGTGCCTCATATGTCGTTCCGCCTTTATATCGTCTTTGAAATTTGCAAAATATAAAGACAATTTAGGGAGTGGAATTTTAAAAGAGGTAAACAACATTGAAATCATCGAAATATAACTACGATTGTTTTAGGAATAGAGTTTTTTCACAAAAATTTCGTGTGAAATTATCGGGTTAAACAAAACTAAAAAAAAAATAAAAATTAGCAAAAATTTGATTTTTTCTAAAATTCAAATATTTGGTGTTATGAAAGTATTTGGTATCGAGAAAGTATTTTTCTCAAAAGGGAAGTTATAAAGAACTTTTGCAATTAGAAATTTCGTAAAAATTCGTTAAAATACCTGTATCTCGGAAACCGTTGAGATTTGACATCTAGTTCTCATATTAAAAAATTTACTCATTTTGGAGTCTAGACGATGGTATACGTTATGTCAATGATTACTGAATCACCCTATATATTGAATTATTAGTTGTTCTACCTCAAATTATACGATCAAATTTATTCGAAGATTCACAATTTCTTATGTGCCGAACTAACTAACCTTCTATATAATTCAAAATTATTACTTAATAATTTTATTTTTTTAAAATATTTCTTATAGTTTACCTCGTTTGAAAATTAATAACAAAAAACAAAGAAACAAAAAGCTTTAAAAATTTTTGTACCATTATAATATAAATATTAAAAAAAAAAATTTTTTTTTGAGTAAATTAGATGAGTTCGAAAAACTATAATTAAATAATCATAAACAACAGGGACGAAGAAGCTAAGCACGAAAAGGTACCCCTTACTACTAGAATATTATTTTCTCGTTTATTAATATTTTTTTGTTTTGCTTGTTTTTTTTTTTCCAAAAAAAATTTATTATTCTAATAACCATTTTTACCTTCAAGTTGTTTATTTGCCTAAAAAAGATTTTTTTTAAATTAGTAAGTCGAAAACCGTGTATGTTTTCTAATTTTAAAAATAGAATTTTTGTTGCTCATTTTTTTTTTCATTTGTATTTTTGCTATTCAGTTTGGTTGACAACTTATTCAGATCTGTTTAAGATTCGCTTTAAGAATTTTTCCAAAAAAAAAAAAAAAATTAAAAAAAAAAGGTAGAAGACAATAATTTTTTTTTTCACTGTGCACATTGACACAACATAAATTATCTTTTTTTTTTTTGATAAATATCCGTCAGTTGTCATCAGTCTAGTAGTCTGACAGAACCATATATAAAAGATTTAACAAATTATACATTTAAGCTAGAATCATTACTGATCTACATCTGAAAATATATTGAACGTGAAATTTTTTTTTTGAAAGTAAAATTATTTTTTTAAAAAATTCGAAGAAATTCTTTTGAATTGTGTGAAAATGAAATTTATTTTGATTCTGTCAATTGTAATAACAATAAAACAAAATGACGTATTGTGTGCTAATAAAGATGGCAAACAAGAATTACCAAATGAACCTCTTATAATTAGAGTTGAAGATGTACCAAAAATCTCTGTAAAAGATTTAAAAGAAAAAGATTTAAGTGGTAAAATATTAAATTATGAAGGTGGTTTTGAAAATATTCCAATTGTTGATTCAAAATATAGTCAAGTTCAAGTTCAAATGCCATCACAATTAAATGAAGAGAAAATTATAAATGTTGAAAGAGAAAATGGAAAAAGTAAAGAATTACGATTAGTGCAAGATGATATTGAAAATCAAGGTCATGAAAATGAATCAGAACGTAAAGCACGTCAAATTTTTAGTTTAAATATTGGTGTACCATTTGGTGGTGGTTTCGGTGGTTATGGTTTTCGTCCATATTATGGTGGTGGATTTTATGGTTTTCGTCGTCCATTTTATGGTGGATATGGTGGTTTTGGTGGTTATGGTGGTTTTCGTAGATTTGGTCGTAGAAGATTTTTTGGTCGAAGATTTTATGGTTAATTATATTTTAAATAAAATCATGGAATTTTTTGGAAAACAGTATTTTGTGTAATAAAAAAAAAATTTTTTTTTTTTTTAGTATAAACCGTGTAATACAAATATTATGTAAGTGTAAAATAATTTAAGTAAAATAATGTAAATAAAAATTAAGATTTCGAAATAAAATAAAAAATAAATATGTGATTTTTAAATGAATTAAGATTTTTTGAAGTAATTACAAAATTTAAATATAAATTTTATTGGAATTTAATTACTGTTTTTTCCTTACTAAAATAAATTTGTAATATTCAGTAATTAGAAGGTGTTTTATATTATGTTCCGTCTTATCTAGAAATATAAACAAATTAAGAAGTTCAAAGAACTTTCAATCCAATGTCAAAAATAAATAATTCTGAAGAAAAATTAAATTTTTTTTTTGAAATAGAACAAGTTTTAGGTGTAAACACCTTATATCTGATTTGAATAAAATAGTAAAATGCTCAATTTCTTAGGCAATAAAAATTGTTAATTGTATACATTAAAAGATTTCTTCGAAAACGTGTGTGAGATCTCTAAAACTTGCGAAACAATAAAATTTGGAAGTTATGGATTTATGCTCTTAACATAAGATGATTGTCCAAATTTATTAAAATTTCTGATTACTTGTACAATATTATTGATATCAAGTTCAATAACGTAAAAAATTAAATGATATTCGTGAAATCGATGATATTTTATAATATTGTTGATCCCACTCTCTTAAAGCATATTTTGTTTTTTTTTTAATATTAAAGAAGATTTTTAGAAAATAAGTGGGTAAAACTTGATTAAGTGAACCAAGTTTTATTCAATTAATTGTGAAGATTTTTTTTTTACATTCTTATTGTTGTACCTACATAATAATTATGTTAATATGTAGATATAATGTAGACAAATTATTATAATTAATTTAATTTTGTCTATTTTGATTATTGTTCCAGTTTGAATGTGATTTTTAAAATATATTAAAATTCTTATTCCGTTTGTAATAATGTGCTATCAGTAAAACGTACGTATAATTGTGTAAATTACTTGTATACACCCTCATATGTTCTTCAGAAGCGTGTTGACACATAGAAATTTTACAACTATACGTAGGCTAATTTCAAGTATATTTCTATCATTTTTATTCCTGAATTTTTATTTCTTGCTTGGTTGACTAAAATTACAAGAAGATTCGGGTATACAATTTTAAATTTTAATTTCATTTACGGTCTTAAGTGACATTAAAATTAAATCTTGCATAAAATTGTGTTAATTGAGCATAAAGACATTTGAAATTCGCACCCCGGGTGTCAATATATTTTTCGAAAATATTATTTTTGTAAGAATTCGCGCCCTAATTTTCTAATACAAACGACAAGATTTAAGCAAATCAATTTTTGTTTTCTTTTATTCTGAATCGATAGAAATGTTGCTCTTTACATTAACGTAGTATCCTAATATTGTTAATAACAACTGCTAAATTTATTTAAAATTATTTTAATACATTCGTATATTTGGGCAATTAAACAAGAAAACCACTTCTATTATTATTTTTGTGGTAAATACTTCATAAAAGAATCACCAAATTCAATTTTCAAATTAAATTTTGTTTAGAAAAACATTAGAACTTTTGGTGTGTAATTGAATGGCAACAATTTAAAATCGCCAAAATAATTTGATTTAAATTCAATTAATTATTAAAAAATTTATAAAAATGAAGATTATCTTAAATAAATTTACAATTTTCTTATTGATTTTATTACATTTAAATTTTGCAATTTGTAATTGTGATGATAAAATTAATATTGAATCTGAAAATAAGGAAGAAAATAATAAAAATATTGAAGACATACCAATTATTATCAATAATCAAAACAATGATAAAAATTTAGAAGTTCAGGATTTGAAAGCAATAAATGTTGATAATGAATCAAAGAGGAAAATTCGTCAAATTGTGGATGTAGATATTGACATATACAATAATAATGAATATGGTGTACCATATTATGCTCCAGGTTTTGGTGTTCCATATTATGCTGGAGGTTTTGGTGTTGCACCTATTTACGGTGGTTTTGGATTTCGAAGACCATTTTATGGTGGTTTCGGTGGATATGGTGGATTTGGTAGATATGGTGGATTTGGTAGGTATGGTGGATTTCGTAGATTTGGTGGATTTGGAAGAGGATTTGGAAGAAGATTCGGTTAACACAATCAAGATATGTTATACATGGATAATGTAGGTTAATATGAATAAATTTATGTGTATATGTATATTTTAAGTTTGTATATGTATATATTATTTAAGAATTAAAATAAAAATTAAGAATTAAAATAAAATGTTTAAAATATTTAAGAAGTTGAGTATTGTGTACATATTTTGAATATGAAACCATGGATATGTATAAATCGTGATATTCAAGTCGTGAAATAATAACTGCACTATAATAACCAATTTAACTTATGTTGGTTTGTTCGAATATTGCAGGGGAGATAACCACGCAGAGTAGAAGGACTACGATATGATTATACGTGTTTGTTTAAGTACGAGGCGAAATTTTTAACAAATTCCCTCCGTATAAATGGTATTAATTAATACACCCCTCTCCCAACTTTATCGCGTAAGCGTTTTACTCACGATAATAAAATTAATGCTGAGTAAGAGAGCATAAAACAGTATGAAGATACAAAAAAATGAAACTGTAAGAGAAAAATATAAGTAAGTAAATACAAAAGAAAATAAAAGTGGAAGGTGTAAAATTTATTACCATTTCATCGGTTAAAGGTTGAGCAAAATAATATTTTATCAATATGATTTTGTATAAATTACCCGATTATGACATCGGGCACTAAACTTAAAAGAAGTTTTTTAGAAATATTAACCAGAAGTTATCAATTTAGTTTAGTTCATGACCATGTAGCTTAACAACTTCCCAATGGTCTTCTGGAGTTTCAGACTTAAACTTGTTTTTACATTAAATCGACAGTACTTCATTTAATATTTTAAAAATTGGGGTTGTCTGTAAGGTTTTTGTTCTCATCAATCTTTCGTGGTACGAAATTATGTAGCATTGTGGTGGTGCTGAAAGTATAGAAAACAAAGCTACTCAGTGGCGATTAAAATATGAAAGCATAATTTTAGTTTTAGTAGGTCAGTGTAGTAAATTATTATTAATAATCGCTTTATTATTCATATTGAATTTTGGTTTAAATTAATCGCATTTATTATAATCCCCTGATATTTTCTATTGTTTTTTTTGTTTTGCCCCAAAATTTTATAGTATAATTTGGACTTTCCTATTTTGCTCTTATGTTATGAATTAGTTTAAGTTTTTTTTATGGAATTTCCAAGAAAATCAAAACATAAGGTATTGAAAGAAGTTTTTGATTTAGGAAAGACCGTCATTATCATTGCCAAATTTACAAAATGTAATAGATTTTAAAAATATAAACTTTCTGATTTGATTTTTATACTACGTTGAAGATTTCTGGTTTAATTTTCAAGTTTCATTTGTATGTTTTTATTTATTATACTATATAAGTTTGTAAGGTTAAACGATACGTTGTGAAAGTTACGACTGCGAGGGAAAAACCCAACCTGGCTTAAGGTTCAGAGCTCCCGTTTTTTACGAATTTATTGCAATTTTCGATGAATAAGATTAAACCGTTGATCAGACACGTCAGATATAAGTCGCAGCTAAAACTTATTGCAGGAGGTATGGCATTAAAACAACACCTTATTATGCTATCTACCCTTTTTTTGAGTTATCAGAGAAAATTCATGTACAATAACTCAACCAGTCCAATAAGGAACATTATGTTTGAAACGACATATAAAAATAATGGCCATCGAATTAATTTCGACCATATATTTTATGAGTTTGAATTTTTTTTTTTCAATTTCATTTTGTCTGTCTTAAATGTCATGATTATTGGCCAAACTAATAACTATTTTTGTTTTTACAGCGTTCATTCATACGATTACAATAAACTTTGTATGACGAACAATTTTTAAGTATGTACGCATTCCCCTAGCTGCTTGTCAATTATTCGTCATGAATTTCATTTTTCTAATTTTTGAACACTCTTCTTTATTTCACATACTTTTAGGCTTGTTCAAATAATTAAAATCCAAAATTATTGAATTTCAGTTTGAATAAATTTGGATTAAAATATTATAAGAAATGTTTGACGTAAAAGTTGATAACCAATATTTTAAGTTTTGTTTTCATACCATGTACGAATACTAAGAGGGTTGACAATACTAACAGAAAATCAAAAGAGACAAAAATATGTTTTTAGTTCAATTCTTTTATAAAATTTATACCATTTTGTAGTATGGTATATTTTGTGGTATATAATGATGCCACAATAAAAGATAAACATAAATTTGTTAAGATTTTTAGATGAGGTTAATGATCGCATATGTACAATATTATTTTAGTTTCTTTGAGTTCTTTTTTGTGTTAAAGTTCAAGTTCAATGGCCGTTGCGTGCTGTTTTAAAAGCTGCTAAATTAAAATTACCCATAATGTACATAAAAAGCTATTAAGATGTATGTGTTTAGATATGTAACATATGTTCTAACTATATAATTTTTTAATGATATCCGTTATATTTTAAATGTCTATACTTATTTAAAAAACACACACAACAAATATCAGAAAAAAAAAATTTGCACTCTCATTATCGAAATCGTTCAAGGGAGAAAATGATATAAAAAGAATGTCCAGAATTCGAAAATTTACAGTATCTTAAGAATTTTCATTCGTGTCAATATAGAATTTCTTTTTCTTTGGATAATCGACGAAAAAAAAATTGAATTTTCAAAATGAAAGCAGCTTTATTTTTAATTTTCGCATTATTCTTTGTGACAATAAGCGCATATCCTTTGGATGATGAAGATAAAGGTGTTGAAACAAATAATGAAGAAGAATTATTAGATATTGATGGACAAGGACATGAGAATGAATCCGAAAGAAAAGTTCGTCAATTCGGTTTTGGTTATCCATATGGTGGTTATGGTGGATATGGTGGATTTGGTGGTGGATATGGTGGTTTCCGTTATCCATATGGTGGTTATGGTGGTTTTGGTGGTTACAGGCATCATCACCGTTATGGTGGCTATGGTGGATATGGTGGATATGGTGGATATTATGGTTAAACCGGTTAAAACTGAAAGGAAAAAAGGATTTGTGATAGAAAGTTTTAAATTAAAATAAAAAACAAAATTGAAAGAAATAAAATTATTGGTGTTTTTAATTACAAAGTAAATTTTTGAAGAAACGTTGAAAAATGTTATCCTAAAACATGTCCTTATAAAAGTGTTTCTTGAACTCAATTCGGTGAAAATTAATTTGTGTACTGGAGCTTCAAGTGTCAAGTGCTGTATATTTTGTATTTAAATCTAATGCGCGTTTATTTTGAAAAATTCAGTAGGAGTTAGATTGAGTCACTCTTTAACAATAGAAACTGCAAACAATTAACTGATCAATTCGGTTGAAAACTGTAAAATTATCCAATAAAAGCTTTAATAAGTGATATAAAATGAATTTCGAAAATTATTTTGAAATTGTAGAATTATTCTGAATTAATTGAGATTAATGAAAATATTATTGTTTAAGTATGAGTTTTGAGTTCACTATAATTTCCCCGATACAATCCTTAGTTACTATTGGTATGAAACTCTGAATAAAACTGTTTGTCGAATGAGGAAGAATTTGTAAAAAATTATTGAAAAACTAAAATCAGTTCATTTCGTCAAATTGTTCTACGGATAACACAAGAAGATGAGTTTACGGATAAATTTTTTTCATTATCGCTTAGTGGCAACAAATGATCAGATCTGTTCGCGAATCTTTATATCTAATATTGTTAAAGCTTTTCCATATTTTAGTTCTTTAGCTTTCCTATTTAAAAAACAGGAAAGTAAAATAAGAATATTCCCTTATATTCTTTGAACCTTAATACGAACGAATCAGAGCATCAAAAGTTAGGTATTAATTAATCCATGCAAATTTAGGTATTATGAAATAGAAAGTTTCTGGATGCTGTGAAAGTTTTGTTATGGGGTATTATCATAAGAACTTACATTAGTTTTCGTAATTCTACCACAAGGCAAGGTCTTATACGTTCTTAAATAATTTAATTTTCAACAATTTTTAAGTTACCTGTTATTTTAAACCATAGTCATCTCTGGCTGGAATTAAGGTGAATTGAATTTTCTGAATTGAAGCGAGAACAAGAGGCGAACTGACACATACAGAACGAGTAATAGCATTAAGATTTAATTTAAATATTTTTTAATTTTTGGCATGAAATTTATTAAAATACGTGATCAAAATTTATGAATCCGGATAAATAAATTTACGATATGTAAAAAGATCGTTTTTACAATATTTAATAGTATAAATACACGCATACACATATTTATTCTTAAAAACTCTTATTTCTATACATTTCTTAACCATAATATCCTCCATGAAAACCATGATGATGATGATGATGATGGTGATGACGATATGGAAATCCAAAGCCACCATATCTACCGCCGAAGCCACCAAATCCACCGAAACCACCTCCATAACCACCATATGGGAATCCAAAACCAAATTGTCTTACTTTCCTCGGTGATTCATTACTGTGCTCAATTCCTTGACTATCAACCTCAATTAAACCAACTTGATTTGGTGTTTCTTCTTCCACAGGATACGAGTAGACAATTGTTGCAATTAATGCAATCAATAATATTTGTAAAATTGTATTCATTTTTGATGTTTTTTATAGTTAATATTTTATATAGAATTTAAGGAGTATTTAGAGATTTTAAGAATTTTTAAATTTTTTTGCCCAATTACGTATGTTTTGAAATACTAAATGAAACTATTAATTATAAGTTTCGTTCCAAGAACTTTTATACCAAAAAATTTGAATGAATTGAATGGCACGTTTTTCAAAATCTATTGAATTACGTTTAATTTTTGTTTGATTTTGAAACCGGTAAATTTTATTCTGTAGGCAAATTATTGTTTCAATGTGTATACAGTGTGACATTTAAATTGTGGAACTATTTTTGTAATTAAAACGAAACGATTATTAATATGCTTGCCTACGGGTATTGTAGTAAGTAAGTCTGTGAGCATTTGTTTTATTCTTATTATAACTACTAAAATTGTCTTTAAAATGAACATGTTTCTTTTTATTGGGATTAACTGAATTGGTAAGTGTAGATTTGCTTTTAGTCATAATGAGTCATACGCCTTCAAATACTGAATTACTACACTTGATGTCTTCGGCCATAGCTGAGGGAAAAGTACGTTTCGTGAAGTATAACACAGTGTATGGAGATGAGCTACGTGACGATCCATTGGAAAAAGATTTTTCAGTAGAATTTGTCAACATGGTTAGAATTAATTGGTACTGATGACGGCTCAAGGCGGAGGAGTGAATATGAATCTATTTCCACTCTAGTTGGTTTAAAAGTAGCTGGCCATGGAGCCACTAATGTATTGAAATGCAATGGGTGCAATGCAGCCGAGTCGAAATATTGCTTCTGAAGCACAAAAAAATAAGGAATATTTTCGGTACTTGCTTGTAATTAATCTGTTTCGCATCACGCCCTTGTTCGGGTGTCCTGAAATTACACTGTGACACTGATTATACTTAAATTGCATTGAAAAGTTTGTCTATATTTTGACATTTTTCTAATGTGTTTTTTTTTTTTTGAATTATTGGTTGTCATTTCGTTCTGTAGTGAATATGTGGTAGAAACGTACCGATGATTCATTTCAAAATAATAAAAATCAAAAATTTACGTAATAATTAAAAAAAAAATTGTTCAAATATTTATTTTGGGACAAGTTGAAATAATAAACTTGTAAAAAATACTATAGGTGACAAACTTGATTTGATTTGTTAGACAAATAGCATTTAAGTTGTTCAAATAGAACGAGAAGTGGTAAACAAACTATACACATAGAAGTTGCGTATTATCATTACTAAGTATCATCTAAAATTTTCATATCATTATGAAGCGGATGAATGCGTGCAAGGTTATTTGCGGTTAATTTAACATGAATATCAAAAAAAAAAAACAAAAATATCATTAAAAATACTTATTTTGGGTTTTTTCTGTCTTACGAAATTCACTAGGAGATTTTGTGTAAACTACTTTAAATATAAATTTTTCGTATAAAATAATTACCAGTATTAGGAAGTCTTTGGATATTATAATTTTTATATGTTGACAAGTACGTGATTAGTCACGAATAGATGCTGTGTTTTAGTTATCATTATTTATATTAATTACATTGAAAGTTATTTTCGATTATTTAATTCAGAAAATATTAAAAATAAGTTGTACATTGTTTAAAAATTAAAATATAAAATTGTCATAATGAAGTGTGCCTGCGTGTGAATAAAATCTGTAATATATTGAGAGTGAACAATATATTGAGAGTATTAAATATGAAGCTAAAGGTGCATTCAATATCGTAAACATTTTATTACCTTCCGTAGATAACATTCTCAAATTGCTGTCAAAACGTCAGTATTGTTTGGTTCTCACTCCTAACAAATAATTTGGGCAAAATACGTTGGTATTAAATTTGTGTTTTTCGTGTTGCCGTAATCGCAGTATCTCTTCAATCTTTTCATAGACATTATATGCATCCATCTGTCACTCTATCAAAACAGTCTGAGATTTAAAATTTAATTTCAGTCTAGTCTTAATTATTTATGAAAAATAAGTTTTTATAAATTGGCCTCTTCAAATCTTCAATTCTTGAATCACTCCTTCCATCGATTAAATTGATTAAAAAACTGTAAAAATTGCCTATATATGACAAAGCTGTAGGTACGATGTAATGAACTCACCAGCGTGTCAAAAATGCGAGTGCTTTTGAAATGGTTGTTATTGTTGGAAATACAGAACAAGGAAAGCGTTTCAGTTGGTTGTCAAAAAGAATTTGTACTGGACTCATTTACAACAAGATTGCAGAATATAAGTTGTATTGTTACTCAATTATATGGAAAACAACCGCTTCTATTTTTTTTTTAAGGAGAAGGAGTAAAAAGTTGATTTCCGAACTAAAACACAATAATTTTGAAATTAATTCATGCACTTTCACTGGAAGCTACCTTTGCAGATTGATTGATTGCTATAGATCTACAAACTACTCTTGCATGTGCAAATAATAAAACTAGTCTTTGAACTTCTTAAAAATTTTATTGAACATTTCTGGTAACACTTAAGAAATACTAGCCTAAGTCTAATTTCTATTTAGTCCAAGTATTAGAAATAAATTCAATTTGAGTCACGTTATTATAATCTATATACAGATCCGTGCACATCATTTAAATGATTGACACTTTCAGTGTTTTTTGACTGATGATTCTGCAATCACTGTTGTTATTATCCATTGAGAAACCTTATTAATTCTCCTTTTGTTTTTCAAATGCAAATGAAACAAAGTCTTTTAGCTGGCTTATTAACTTTTTCGAGTATAACAGTTTCAATTTTATTTTGAAGACCATTTTCATTTGGAATATTTTGATTCGATGACCTTTCATCCCCTAAAGGATATGAATGCAAGAATGTGACATGCATTATTGAAATTACCAATAAATACAAAACGATTCTCATTTTTCTTATTTTTAAATTGGAAATTACTATGATCCTGAATTTTACTGATCCTGAATTTTGTTAATATGGATTTTAAAGATTTGAATGATTGAATTTTGCTTTATGAATGATAAATAAATTTTTTAGGTACTTATATACCAAAATTTGCGAAAACAATTTTTTTTTTTTTCAATAATATTATAGGATTGGAAATTTAACAGTTAACACGCGCAATATTCGCAATATTGAAATCATTTTGTTTTCAAAATATTTTTTTTTTTGTATATACTAAAAAAATTTATTTACATATTATTGACCTACAAGTTTTCATTATAAAAACGTGTCTGTGAATGGTAAACAAAATATTAATAAACATTGCCAATTAGGATAAATTTAAGCACAATTCAGGAACAACAACTTTAACATAAACCGTCACAATGCTTATATTTCAAAAAGCTTTTGATCACGCTTTTTTATATCAACAAGAAGTGACAAAATATTTTGCAAAAATTCTTCTTATTTTAAATCTAAATCAAAGGAAA